GTTGTTTAGTCGTTTAGTTGTGTCCGACTCTTTGTGACCCCATGGACCAGAGCACGCCAGGCCGTCCTGTCTTTGACTGCCTCCTGGAACTGGGCCAAATTCATGTTGGTCACTTCGATGACACTGTCCAACCATCTCATCCTCTGTCGTCCCCTTCTCCTCTTGCCCTCACACTTTCCTAACATCAGGGTCTTTTCCAGGGAATCCTCTCTTCTCATGAGATGCCCAAAGTATTGGAGCCTCAGCTTCAGCGTCTGTCCTTCCAGTGAGCACTCAGGGTTGATTCCTTTAGAATGGATCGGTTTGTTCTCCTTGCAGTCCAGGGGACTCTCAAAAGCCTCCTCCACCACCACAATTCAAAAGCATCAATTCTTTGGCGGTCAGCTTTCTTTATGGTCCAGCTCTCACTTCCATACATCGCTACAGGAAAAACCATAGCTTTGACTATTCGGACTTCTGTTGGCACAATTCCTCTGTAACCTCCACTAATTCAATGGTCCTACACTAGTGGCTTAATACTGTATTTCAGCCATTGTGTTTCAATTTAAATCTCTCTCTCTCTCTCTCTCTCTCTCTCTCTCTCTGTGTGTGTGTGTGTGTGTGTGTGTGTATGTGTGTGAATAAAATTTTAAGTAAATGTATATCCTTCTGTTTTGTGTTGTGATTCCAGAGCAGTCATCTGAACCAAGAACTCAATTAGAGTTTTTAGCAGTTTTGTAGCTCTGGGTAAAAAAGAAGACATGTTGCAGGACTTGTATGTTCTAGTGCTAGAGAAGTGCATATGCTAATGGGCTAGCCCTTGTGCCTTTATATGCCACCCAACCCTTTAAACGGTGGTAGGTAGCCTTCAGGAAAGCAGTAGCACTTTCCCAGCAGCACACCATTTTGAGGTTGAGGAAATTGTGTTAGCTCTGACATAAAATGCTACGTGGGACAGGGAATTATGGACTTACGGCATAATAAAGTAGTTATATGGAAAGTTCCCATGTTTGAATCATAGCAATTAATGTCCACTTGCACAAAAACCAGTTGAATGAACTGTTCTTATGTAAAAACAGACACGCCTGGTTAAAAATAGAAATGAACACTGTCTGCCATTCCATAAACAAATCCCTTCCACTACAGATGAGACATTTTTCTAGTGCTAACAATAGATGCTTTTATTTTCCATTGAATAGCAGCAGAAAGGTCAAAACAATTGCTTTCTCTGCATAGACACTCCATTTAGTTCGTATACTCTTTGAATTCTTTGAAAATTGATTATTTTCAATCATATTGATAAAGATAACAAAAATTATAAATAATTCTGCCCTGTTAGGAAAACTAAATAATTCTTAGTATCAAAGCACTAGATTAAATAACATATTGGTTGTGAATGTGTTAACGTTTGCTTCAGTTTCTGAGTCATGATGTATGAATGTTTGTATGATGATTAACAAAAAGAAATTGCAAATCTTCATTTGAGAATTACCACAAGCAGGACTTTATGCAGTCGCAGCTGTATTCCTATACCCAGTTATTAAATGGTAAATCCAGTTGAACACAATGGGAAATTACCCCTGGGGCTATCCTTTGACATGGATGTGTGTGTGTGTATATGAGATCCTTCAAACACTTGAAAGTCCTTTTTTGGGGTGCACACAATTAATTTTTTAGTAAGACTTTGTAAGTCATATGGAAGTTTGTCCAAAAAAAGACTGAAATTCTGACAAGAATTTCATGGATATTCACAAGAATAAAGCAATGAACATGAAAAGATAAGACTGTAAGCAGACCCTAACTAGATCAAAGTAAATGTGTAACTGAACTGATACTTAATACACTAGTATTGAAACTACAGTGCCTAGATAGATCATACATTCTACCCTTAACATTTAAGATGGAATGCATGTGTTAAATATTTTAGTGCTGTTGATATGGTTTGTAACATTGAATTGTGCTATTGGTTGTGAGGTTTCACATGTAGCTTGAGAGATCATGCTCTTCTGTGCAAACAGAAGACTTAGAAATATTATCAATGAGTAACAGATATGTCTTCTTTTAATCACATAAAGCACATTGTCTTCATTCCAGCAGGACTAAATATATGTCTGTGCATATCCAACCCCTGTTACTTGAAAGGCAACATCTACATTTGGAATTTGAACCCCTTCCAAATTATTATACCGAGGTCTTCCTGGTCCAGCAGTCTTCCAAGCCTTGCTGCCTTAGTATCTACCCTGTGAGATTGCAGGTAAGTAACTGAGTGCTGCAGAATTAGACTTGTCTTTAGCAAATGGACTTTATATTACAAAAGGGAAATGAGTGGTAATGGAGCGTAAAACTTTTTCACTCTTCTTACTAATGTGTGGAAAAGTACATTTAAAAGCAAAGAGTGCAGTGAATAGCTTTTCTCGCCATTATTTGAAAAAGATCTGTTTGCTGTTAAAGATGCAGTGGTATACTAGTTGTGTTAAAAACTAAGACAGAAGATAAAAGGACTTGGATTGTTTTGCTTTATTACAAAATATAAATGGCTATTTTATTTCCCAAATAATTTGGCAACAACTGAACAAAGATTCTAAAACAAAGTGATACTCCTGGTACCGGAAGCACAAAGCTACGACACCCGATTCTTTTCTCTCCTTTTGGATGCTGTAGAGAGTCTGGGGCCATGCAAGAGTTGTGGTCCAAAAAAGTAAATGAGCTAAGCCTTGGAACACTTTACAGAGATACAGGGTGGCAAATAGCCCATAGCTTCTGCAGATATTACAGTTAGAGACTTCAGAAGAAATCGAGACTCAGTACAGATGGAAGGGAGAAAAGAGTCTGCGTCCAGGTAGATGACTATTCATTTGCCATCACTTAAAAGATGATATGAGTCAGTGAGAGTATGAGCCAGTGAGAGTACATGCAAAGAAGGAACAAGCACAAACTAGATTGTGGGGATGAACTATATATATTCCAGAGGAATACCTAGTGGATGACATGCAAAGAAACAACCATGGTGTCATTATAGATTATTTATTTTTAATGTAAAGTGTTTGAGGATCATGATAAAAAATTTCAGGGCCATCCTGTAACAAATAACAGGATGGTGCCCCTTGCACTCTATGTATGGAAGCCAACTTGATTGGCATTTGAATCTCTTTGGCACTATTACTGAGGAAGTATCATCTGTTACCCTGGAAGATCAAATTGTCTAGAAGGGAACTCATCTCCTTGACACTTTTTTGCAATATCCTAGATTGTGCCCACTTGGAGAGACTACTTCACTCAGACTAATAGCATGGAAAGCCTTGGTAGAAAGCAGATCAAATAAGTAATTTAAAAGGAATGTCTGTCTGGTCCCCTATTTCTTTTGCAGTCTATAGCTATAATATCCAAAAGAAGTGGGGACCCAGTACAGGTGTTCCTGCACAAAAGGCAGAAATTGGCAGTTGAAGTTGTTTCTTCTATAGTAAGGTGGAAGGGAAGGAGAAAAATTGTTTATATAGCACTTTAGCATGTTCAAAGCACTTTCCCTATATTATCTTGCTGTGAGCCTTTCAATGCAGTTAAGTAGGGATGAGGAATATACAAATATATACTTCATTTGCAGCCTGTACTTTGTTTGAAATTGCAATCAGTGCTCACACAGGGGCTGCAGATTGATTTTGGTGTTCAGTGCTCATACTGATGTGATGTGATTCACATTCCAGCCCACAGCCCCCCTTCTTTCTCTCCTTCCTCTAGTCCCACCTCTGCCAATCCTTTATGGGATATAAATGCAGGAAATGATAAGAATGAGGACCCATCAATAAACTGATAGGGTGATCTAGCACTAATCTCATATATGTAAGATTTTTTTTTAAAGTGGGTGATCAGCGGAGAGGAAAAATGCAGGGCAATTTCCCCCAGTCTTGAACATCACAACCCAACTGACTGTGTCACCAAAACACCACCTACAAACACCCCCCTCCAGCATCTTTACAAGAAAGTATCAAAATAAGCACAGAAAAAGCCTCTCAAATCAGTCTGGTTTGAAAAAGTAGAAGCCAGTGCCATAGAGAAAAAGGCACTTTGGGAGCAAAAAAGGCTGCACCAATTTGAGTCAACCTTTGGGTCATGTGGTGAGTTAAAAAATATTTCAGATTCACCGGTTTTAGAAGCCAAGCAAATCCTGCAACATTTGACCACGTAGTTGCAGCCTCCATTAAGCATTTGAATGTAAAGCAGATCAGAGTATGATATGTGTATTGAAATAAACATTATTAATAACATTTAAAGAGGTGAAGGTTAGATTTGGAGGAAAAAAACACTTTGTCCCTGATACGATTGGATATGAGGTAAGTAATCTGTGAAGCCAGGTATTTTACAGAGGTCACATGTGCTAGAGATGCGTTAAATTGGACATGTACAATAGACATCCAGCTCTGCTGCACTTGAATATTCAATTCATTAAAAAAACACCACTCCTTATTTTATGAATGTGGGATATTGTGCTTCAGTCTCCACAATTCAGAATGCCAGGAAATAGCTTGATGTTGCTGCACAAATCATGCCCGTGTTATCAGCAAGAAAAAGAACTCAAGGCTTTACATAGCATAGGGTAGGCTGAATGTTGACAACACCAATGGCAGCAGTCAAAATGGTTTACAGGATACCCTCTTGAGCTTGCTACCATTCACAAAAGTTCACCACTTCCCACACAAACACATAGCAATTGTCAGGGCTTTTCAACAAGTGTGAATGGTAGTGAGCAGAAGGGGGCATCCTGTAGACCATCTTGATTGGTTTTTTGACATATTTGATCTGTTCTAAAAGATTCTTTTTTAAGATCCATGGAGCCCACATGAAAATTTGTAGCACAAAGTCACGCTACATGGGAAGAAAAGGGGGCACCTTAAAACATTTTGTTGCCAGAGTCAAGATACTGTGGCATCTCCCTTCCATGAACAGAGGCTGACTGTGTGTGTGTGCACACACGTGCACATGTACACACAGGCGCACACATGCACACACATGTGTGCATGCACACACACATGCACACGCACTGTTGAACCTTAGTTCAAGAATGGCAGTGAACATAACATTGGCATCCTCCAATAAAGGGGAATGGCCTGGGACCTGTGAACTGAGAATTTTGGGGTTGCTACTGCTATTCCCCCACCACCAAACTTTGTTGCTTAAGATAGTTGATGCATTTTATCTAATGGTAGAGCTGGCCCTGCAAGAAACGGAAAGTGGTCATGCAGCAATGATAAATTTGAAGCTTAAGTATAAGTAGTGTACCAGGGCAAAATGCCTCCTTTATGTGTCACTGGCATCTTTCTACAGATTTCTATGGCATATTGCCACAAGAAGCTGTACCCACATTGATTCAGACGTAAGGTTTCTTTACGTGTTTCTTTAAAAAAAGGAAAGAAAGAATATTAAGCTACTAGAATTTGCAGCCCTTTAAAATAAAACAAATGTATAATGTGAGTATTTTTATACACCATTGGAGGGGAAAGTGCTGAGGTGGTATTTTTAGTCTGTGTTCTTGACATCATACAGTATTATGTTTTCCTTCTCAGAGTTTTGCATTTAACTGGTACCTTTGAGTCATCTTTATAATTAGCTTTTAAAAAAAACTAGCACATGTTAAGTGCTTGTCATACCACACAGAAGTGTTTAACTGCCAGCTATTCAATTAGTACAAAGAAAATCTCACAAACTGGTAATCAGTCAAAGGGTAGGCTAGTAACATAGCATACATGAAGACGTATCAAAGGGATGTGGATTGCAGTTGGCTGTTCCTTGATGCAGCTCAAGAGCACAACAGACTATTTCAGCTATGTGGATATTCATGTTTCAAGTGTGGAAGCTGCTAAAATGACTCTCTACTTGGCTTTGCTTTCTGGGATCTCAGTTTCAAAGTCCAAGTCCGTGAGACAGCAACAGAACAACATCTGAACATATTTGGTGGTTTTAGCTGCAGGGGTAAAATACACAAAAGGATGATATTACAAAAGTCATAATGGTCATTCATGTTTTGTTTTTATATTGTGTCATAGGTCACATTAAAAATACGGCAGCCTTTGATTATTAGAACAATCTGGCTATTGCCAAGAGCAGAAATTAATAATGCTAGATTGCCACTAATAGCAGGTTTTTAAAAATATTTTTTTCAATCCTAGAAATCCACTAGTGCACATTGCAGTTGGTTCAAATTATTTGAACATACAATATAAGCAAGTGGAAATACTTCTAGATGCCAATGAAATGATAGAATATTTGAAATAAATAAATAAATTGTGCATTCCTTACCAGAAAGCCACTGGATGTACTGTGGTCTCTTCTCAATTGGTAAATAGACTCCAAAAAAATAAGCTGGAATTCCAGACAGTGCTATGCCAATTCCAATTATAGAATTGATTGTGTCACTGTAGAGGGGGACTATGACCAGGAAAAGGGTGCATAAGCAATATACAATGGGGAAGAAGAGGCTGAGCTGTAAATACAAAAGGGAAATGCATGTGAAAGGAAAATGCAGAAAATGTGTTATCATGCTTCAAATCCCATTGCTCAATGCAGATATTTCTATAACAGCTAGTTTGCTTTGCACTTCTGATAGGGTCAAAAATGCCTCAGTCTTAGGGTGTGATTACACTGGGAATAAGAATTGCAGTTGCATTAGGTTTAGTGGCATTAGAATCACTAGACTGTTTTGGCTATATGATGCACAGCGAAGTCCATTTTTTGTCTACAATTTTATCTATATATCGGCCGGCCTGCCTGCCTGCCTGCCTGCCTGCCTGCCTGCCTGCCTGCCTGCCTGCCTGCCTGCCTGCCTGCCTATCTATCTATCTATCTATCTATACCCCACTTTTCCCCTTAAAAGGACCTAGGCAGTTATTTTGAACTGACCAGCAAAGACGTTTTAAATTCAATTCTTTTCAAATTGATCTGGCTCATGTGGATGATGCTGTCATTTTATTTTGTGCCTTTGTGAGATTCGGATGGCAGGGGCACTGCTGTTTTCCCATAAAAAACTTGTTAAAATCTTAAATAAAAGTTTAGCGCTACATTGCTTCATCCAGTGCAACCGCACATATGAATAGAGTCAAGGGCTAGCAGCTAGGATGCATAAAAATGGAACCTACATTTATTTGTTCACAAAATATTGGAGCAGAATAGCAAAGAGACCATATTAGCTTGTTTCTATGTCACAAAAACTTTCTATGAATAAGGAAAGCTATATGAGAGTAATAAATTAACCAATGCTAATGACATTTCTAAATGAATAACTTCTTGGGGTTTTGATGTCTGAAGCTTCTTGTATTTGAAATATTCAATCATTAAAATGGTCTGCTTGTCCTATGCATAAGCAAAATAAATAAATTTAAAAAAACCTATCAGATCATGATAGTTTGCAAGAGATTTGTAACCTGCTTTAAAGGCAGTAACATCCGAAAGGTTTATTTTCCACCTAAATAAGGTTGCTGAAATCAAGAAAACTTGGGAGGAAATGGGAGGAGCCTTGTCTGTGAAATTATTTTTCCTGTAAGCTCCAGATATGGTTCTGAGAACAAGTTCCTAGGTACAGCACATGCTTTGAGCAGAACCTGGAAACATTGCTCTTGTTTTGGACTATAAGCCATGCTGGCAGGTCGATTCAAGAAGCTGAATCCCAAGAAGCAATTTTTTTCAAAGTTCTGGGTCAGAGACACTGTTGTGCAATTCTGTATGTCCTCTTCCTGAGACAGTTTTGTGCCTATTTTCAAGGTGGACATCACCTTCGAAAAACAAAGTACTGTAAGCCCAACAATCTCAAAATCACCCCATTCCTGGATTGGGGTACAGGATATATTATTTGCACTCCATCCATAATTTCCTTGAGGTTGCTAGTTCCTTAACTGGCAAGATCAACTTTTCTCCCAAAATACCTACATTCTGTGAGAGCAACAAGGGAAAAAAATATCTCTCAGTTCACTCATAGTCACTGGGACATTCCAAGAATGTCTCTATAGAACAGCAAGGGCAGCAGCATTAGTTATAGAGCAGCTTCCCGAAGATAAATAAGTACATATGTGACAAGAGTTTGGGGTGTGTGTGTGTGTGTGTGTGTGTGTGTGTGTGTGTGTGTGTGTGTGTGTGTGTTTTTCTGGATCCCAACACACACAAAAACTATGTCATCCAGAAAAAGAACTTGTCCAGTCTTTACAACGTATTTCTAGGTAGGGTTGGACAATCTGCAAGAAGCATTACTGTCACCCCAGTCCTTCACTGGATTCTGCTGGCATTAAATGTGTATCACAAAATCCTGCTTTGTTCCTCAGTTTAAAGGGGAATTGAAAGAGGCTGCACAATGTATGGGCCATTACAGTTCATTTGTCTACATATTCTTAATAGCAAAGCCACAACACATGCATACACACTTTTTGTAAGCATTAGTTCTATCATTTACTTACTTTAATGGGCCTTGGCCTGTCAGGCTGGGTATATCTCAAGTATATTAATCCTGCGATGGATAACCCAACAAAGAACCAATAGCTGAAACAATAGTAATTAATCAGGAGAAAGACATCTTCCACAAGGAGATAAGCCAAAGTCATTAAACCCTACAGAGAGATAAAAATGGAAAGAAAGGAGTAGTAAGAAAAAGTAGGGAAGGAGAAATCCAAGTGCATGTTTTTAATCAGGATGCAGGAACATTTTCCTCCCTCAGTTGTTTTGTTTTGTTTTTTGGACTGCAACTCCCACAGTTCCTTTCCTTTGGCCATGCTGGATATCAGGATGGGATGCATAGGCCAACGTGTCCAGTTCCACATGGCTGTTTTAAATGGAGGTGTATAGGATTCTATCATTCACTGGGTAGGTAGATAGGTTAATGATTTGTATCCTTCTGTTCAGTCAAATATGTCCCAAAGAAATAGGCTGTCGAGAAATACAAAACTCTCCAAACCTCCCAGATAACACACAACCCAACAGATCCTAGTGAGGGGCTCTAGCAGTTGTAGTCCAAAGAAAGTTACTAATCCAAGCAATGATTTGGATGTGAGGTGGGAAATTTGGAGAGTTTTTATATTTCTTGAGAGCTTGTTTCTTTGAGACTCATTTGACTGAACAGAAGGATACAAATTGTCTGCTTACCTATCAACCTACAGAATGCTGCAACCCTATACATCCAGGTGGGGAATGCTTCAGATGTAGTGGAACTTTCCTCACCACTGCTTATCATGAAAGATGATGGTAATTGAACTTCTCCAAGATCTAGAGTACCACAAATAGCTCACCCTTTCCACACTTAACTGGAAATTTATTCATACCAAATTCAAAACACAGGATCCTGACAACTGGTGACAGAGGGTTAACACTCTAATATATCTCTGTGCAACTTCTGTTGCTCGGGGGAGATCATGAAACATACCTGTTCACAACAATGAGCCTTCAGCTTATGCAAGAAGGTACTTGATATTTCCTTGCACATACTCCATAAATGCCATTCCACTCATACAGCAGCCTGTTGTGTGAGCGGAAAGGAAATGACCTGTCATATATGGAATTGCACTTTAACTAAATGCCTAGCTAGGTAAGTAAGTAAATAAATAAATATTAGCCTTGGAAAGAGCAACATTTGTTCTCTTAGATCAGTTTATACAGCAATAGGTAGGGCTGAGTGTATAATTTAAGTCAGTTTGAAAACAAGCAAAATGTCAGTGCAGTGATGTTCCAGAACTTTGTTTTCTTATGTCCTTGCAATGCTTACTTACATTAAAAAGAAGAGCAGGAACGGGTGTGAAGCATTTTATATGGATCAGGCTCAGACTATCAGGGAGGTGTCCTTCTCTGGCTCCAACATAAAAAAGCCTATTGCAAGACAAACAAATGTATCAATACTCAATCCTACCATAGGGCATTCTGGAAGCAAGACTTGCCCTATAGGTGTTAACTGTGGAAGAGAAAATCCAGCTAACTACAGATGTTTAGGCACATGAAATTGTAAAATAATGGAGTTGGAAGGGCACTGACCAATCCCCTGCTCAGTGCAGGAATCCAAATCAAAGGGTATCTGACAGTTTTTCTCATTTTCTCTTGAATGCCCCTAATTTTGGAACACTCACCACCTTCCAAGGTAATTGGTTTCATTGTTCCAACAGCTTAACAAGAATTTCTTGTTAGTATAGTTTACTTGGAGTTGATGGCAACATACACTTAGTATCCTGTTCAGTATTTATGCACTTGGGGTTCCAGCTGCAGAAATGTTGACTGTAATCTGATGAAATGCCTGTCCCACACATTCACATGCCTTAGTTAGACTGTTGTGGTAGCTTCTGTAATTGGCACTCCACATCACACATTACACATTTACCTAACAGGATACCAGCCTATATATCTTGCAGTTAATCTTAGAAGACCATGTAGAAAGTAATAATACGTTGTCACATTATCTCATCTGAATCTTGTGTTAGCCTTGGCTGATTTTAGGTCTACCCTCAATATTGAATCAAGTGTACAGTTTCAGAAAACAAAAAACAAACAAACAACAACAAAAACCCAAACCTTTAAGAGTTGTGAAGTGATGGATGACTTTCACATGGCATACAGGCTGTTTATACCAATTCCTCATTTTGAGTAAGTATTGGTATCCATATGAAACATTCTAATTTAGTATTTTAGACATCTGGCTGTGGAAGCAGAGGTTGGGAGTTTGATTCCCCACTGTGCCTCCCTGACAGGGGCTGGACTTGATGATCTACAAGGTCCCTTCCAGCTCTGCAGTTCTAAGATTAATGTGCCAGTCTGATAGCAAATATATGTATTTTGTGGTGAAAAGAAGTATAATCTCATCACAGGCTATATGCATTACCCTTGATGATAAGTTTTGTCACTGAATCCTGGGTAAATGCTGGGCTCATGAATGTTCTTGCTACTTGGTAACAGTGTGTGTGTGTGTGTGTGTGTGTGTGTGTAACAATATTTTATTGATGTTGTAAAATGTTCTGTTTCATTTATTCTTTTACCAGGGAAGTGAAAATTGTATCCATTTTGCTTATAAAGGAAGGAATGTCAAAGTAAAGTTTCACAAACTAGTATCACGGTCTATGATTCAGTGGCATCCCTTAGTACTGTTACTCACTTGCTCTGCACAGTTCTAGCTTCTTAATGTCTCATACCTGGACGCTGCAATAATGGATGAGTTTAATCCTCCATAGCAAGACATAGCCACTGCAATTGGGATGATCCACTTAGCATGGCTAAGAGTTTCATTACCAAAAGTCTGCAATTGGAAAAAAGAAAGAAGAATATGTGGGTATCCTAATTCAGCTAGATTTGGAATGTCATGGAAATTGATAACACAAGCACAATGTCCGGTCCAAGCCATTTTTGAGCACAGTGATCATCATATTAAAGGGGGGAAAAAGCTTTTGAAAAGCCAAGCTACTATATGATTTCAGTTATGTACATTGAGCAGGTTGATTAAACACGAAGAGCAAGTGAAAGTAATGTTTGTATTAGAAGAGCCACTGTGGTCCAAAAGTAGGATTTCATAACTACAGTGGGATTTTGTAAATTTTCCAGCTGCCTGTTAGATGACAAAAGGGATCATTATATTATTGTATTTTGCACAAGTAGACTTGTGAATCTTTAGCCACTCAGAAGATCACAAATGGTTACTTTGTGACTCCTCACCAAGTGATCAATGTGAATCGGGTTGAGGATGACTAGTGTTGACTCACTTGGACCTGAACAAAATGCCAAATTTTGCTCCCATTACCCATGTTTCAGAAGTTATAAAAAGCATGTAAATACAGTGGTGCCTCGACTTACAACCGTCTTGACTTGCAACAAATTCAAGTTACAACCAGCTCCACTTGCAACATTTTGCTTTGACTTGCAACTGGCGCTTTGAGGTACAACTGGAAAAAAGGCCTCTTTTCCCCATTGTTCCCTCCATCCATCCTTTCCTGCCCTTTTGTAACCTTAGAGGTAATCTTTTGTTAACCTTAGAGGTCACCTTAGGTTAAAAAAAGTATCCCCCTAGTTGACGGATTAACCGCTTTTGCATTAGTTCCTATGGGAATTAATGCTCTGAGATACAACCAGTGCCTTGAGATACAACCAAAAAATGTCCGAAACAGATTAATCTCTTTTCAATGCATTCCTATAGGAAATGGTGCTTTGAGTTACGACTAACTTGAGTTACGATCATCATCCGGAACGAATTAAGTTCGCAACTCAAGGCACCACTGTAATTGACTCCTATAGTGCAAAGTGACAGGTTTAGTTCAAAACTATACTCAGCGCAGATCCCATGGCTTCAACTGAGCTATTGCTATTTGGACACACTCTCATTCCAGCTGTATAACCAAACTTTCAGTGCATTCTAAATTGGCTTTTGACAAATCTAGCTAAATCTGACCTGTATTTCTCAATGTAAACTCATGATACAAAGTGTATTATTAGGATACATAGCCCGTGCCAAATAATTTAATGAGGTATAACTGACAATTAACCTCATCATGTTTACTAATGACCTTAAACCAGCAAATTACTGGTATTTCATATGCAGTGTCTCCCTAATATTTTGGAATCATCAGCAGGTGCTGATTTCCCCTTTTTGAAATAGTAGAAGACCTAAAATTATACACAGAATTATGAACAGGGAAAGTGTGGGTACATTAAGGCACAAGCAGGCATAAGATGCAAGCCTATACAGTATGTTACTGCTTAGGTCAGAGATGGTAGATGTGCATTGTTCCAAATACCTCCCATAATGCTCCATCACTGGGGATGATGAGAACTGCTGTCCAACAACATCCAGAGAGCTACACATTTCACTTCTTGGCTTAGATAAAGCTAGGACAGAAGCACTGCTGAATTTTAATATGGCAAGTTATGGGAATCCACCACACGTAGGTCAATTTTTTGTGATAGTTTAAGAAGTTTGGGCTATCAGAAGAAATGCAGTCTCCAACACTCCCATTCACAAAAACACTCTAATCAAGCTCAATTGTGCACTTCTTATCTAAGCCAGTAGTTGGATTGTTATAGTGCCATCCTTTCTCACTCAGTACATCACATTAAAACACCCAGTTGACTATGTATGAGCTCTCTTAACTTTTTAACTTTTTTTGGTTTTATGTGGGTTCTCTAATTTTTTTTCTCTCTTTCTTGAAATCCTTTTCATGATAACCATAATTTGTCCTGCCTTAGGCCTCTGCTTCACTTGTTACAAGAAACAGAGAAAATGAACTATGGTTTGTCTGGTCATCCTTGGGACAATTCAAAGCTAAGGTAGCAAACCATGGCTAACATGAACCATGGGTTACATAAGCCATGGCTCATCATGACTTACAAATGCAGCCATACAGTTCCTTAAGATACCAGTTAACTATGTGTGCTTTGCAACATACCACAGCCACAGCGTCACTTGCTAGAAGAGCAGGCATGTCCAGTGCAACATAGTAGGCCACATTAGTCAGTAGGTAAATGATGGTCACAATAGGCATTGAAACTGCAATGGAAATTGGAAGGTTTCTGCAGAGGAAAACAAAACAGTATAGCACATTATTTGCCAAAGAATGAATGCAATCCTTTGTGCATACCTGTCCAAACACGTAAATACCATAAAACATAAAATAAGAGCCCTTCAATGCAAGCATCATTATCTGATATATGCATACACCTTTCTGGGTTTTTCATTTCTTCAGTGACAAAATTCAGTGTATCCCATCCAGAATAGGAAAAGAGTGCTGAGTATAGAGCAAGTGCAATTAATCCTGGATTTGCTGTAGAACCTTCAAATGGCTCCTTGAGGTTTTCTGTTTCTCCTGTGGAAACATAAGAAAACCTGTGATTATTTACATCTCTGCATAAACATAATCTCTATGTAATTTTTATGAAATAAAGGCATTATTGGAACGTGCATTATGCAAAAATGATGGATAGAAGTCACTTCATATTGTTTTTACTGTGAATCAGCTCACTGGTTACTTCCATTTGATGTTCTTTATTGTGCGTTTAACTGCTCTGGCAAATGGTCTATTTGCATGAACTGGCTGGTATTAGAGAAGAAAAGTCCCAGAAGATCTCATTGTGAACAGAAATACCTAATTCTAGAGCATGCTCCATGCACTGAAGTTGACATGCAACCTTCCATGAGTTTTTTCTCAAATACAGCTAACAGAGACAGACCATCCCCAACAGAACCAGCAAAGGTAATGCATGAACTAATTCTGAGGGTGGTTTGTAGCTCGGACAGGGTATGTGTGTCTCCATCTGAAATTTTGGAATGAGGTGCCTCCTCGTCCCAGTCCACAACACATCCCTGACTGTCTCCATGTCAAGAAAACCACAAGGAAGTATCTGGGTTGGAATACCTTTGAATTTACTAGGATACAATTAATAAGTGGCGATAACAAAGATGTATTGTACTGTGACTATCTTTGCTTAATAAATAAATAAATCTGAAGGGTATCTTAAGAAACAGAAATGACCAGCTATTTGATACACCGAGCTTTCATTTTCAGAGGAAAGAGAAGCTATTATAGATAATCTATAGCAGTTTTCCCCAAACTTGTACCTTCCAGGTGTGTTGGACTACAACTGGCATAAACCTTATCCCAGATACCTAACAACCAAACTAGCTGGGGCTATAGGGGGTAGAGGCTGAAATGCTCCATGGTGCAGATGCTGATCTCTAGAGTGATCTGTTCCTCAAAGGATTATTGTGGGAAAAGTATGTGCATACATACCGAGATGGTACTATCTGCACACATATCCCAACTCCACAGGAGTGCTTCTGTTATATCCCCTCCCTTACTGAGCTTCTAAGAGGTAAATAAAACCATATCTTTCCCTTTGTCTCTAGGACAACTGTCTTTTAGGAATGTTTTCAATTTGTTTTTAATAATTAGTATTCTTAGAGCTTTTTTTAATATAGCTTTGGCAGTCCTGCTGGGCAAAGAGCAATAAGCAAACAAATAAACATATAAACAACAAAAAAATTTCTACATGATTGCACCTCCAGGTATACTTAATGGTATGAAAACCCAATGCAGCAGAAAATTACAGTCTGCACTCATGAGAAGACTTTTGGGAAAGCTGCTTTTTAAAGCAAGTCCAGGATCATTCAGCTAATATGGGATTTAGGGAAGTGCAAACCATAAAATCCCCTTCATGGATTGCTGTCCCCTCCCCCTCATGGATTTCTGCACCCTTCACGGATTGCTGCCTTATGACGAAGGGGCTTGAGTAATTCAGAGAAGCTATGGGCTATGCCGTGCAGGGACTCCCAAGACGGACAGATCATGGTGGAGAGTTCTGACTAAACGCAATCCACCTGGAACAGGAACTGGCAAGCCACTCCAGTATCTTTGCCAAGAAAATCCCATGGACAGAAACAAAAGGCTAAAGGATATGACACTGGGAGATGAGCCCCTCAGGTCAGAAGGCGTCCAATATGCTACTCAGGAAGAATGGAGGACAAGGACAAGTAGCTCCAGAGCTAATGAAGTGGTTGGGCCAAAGCCAAAAGGACGCTCAGCTGCGGACACACCTGGAAGTGAAAGTCTGATGCAAAGAAAAATATTGCATAGGAACCTGGAATGTAAGTTCTATGAACTTTGGTAATCTGGATGTGGTCAAGCAGGAGATGGCAAGAATGAACATTGACATCCTGGGTGTCAGTGAACTAAAATGGACAGGAATGGGCGATTTCAATTCAGATAATTATCATATCTACTAATGTGGACAAGAATCACATAGAAGAAATGGAGTAGCCCTCATAGTCAACAAAAGAGTGGGAAAAGCTATACTGGGATACAATCTCAAAAATGATAGAATGATTTCAATATGAATCCAAGGCCCACCTTTCAACATCACAGTCTTCCAAGTTTATGCACCAACCACTGATGCTGAAGAGGCTGAAATTGACCAATTCTATTAAGACTTACAACACCTTCTAGAACTGACACCAAAGAAAGATGTTCTTCTCATTATAGGGGACTGGGATGCTAATGTAGGGAGTCAAGAGATAAAAGGAACAACAGGTAAGTTTGGCCTTGGAGTTCAAAATGAAGCAGGGCAAAGGCTAATAGAGTTTTGTCAAGAGAACAAGCTGGTCATAACAAACACTCTTTTCCAACAACAGAAGAGGCGGCTCTATTTGTTTGTTTGTTTATTCTATTTATATCCCGCCTATCGGGTCATTGCAACCACTCTAGGCGGCTACACATGGACATCACCAGATGGGCAATATTGAAATCAGATGGATTATGTTCTCTGCAGCCAAAGATGGAGAAGCTCTATACAGTCAGCAAAAACAAGATCTGGAGCTGATTGTGGATCTGATCATCAGCTTCTTATAGCAAAACTCAAGCTTAAATTGAAGAAAGTAGGAAAAATCACTGGGCTAGTCAGGTATAATCTAAACCAAATCCCTTATGAATACACAGTGGAAGTGAAGAAACTAGATTTGGTGGGCAGAATGCCTGAAGAAGCATGGATGGGGGCTCGTAACACTGTACAGCAGGCAGCAACAATAACCATCCCAAAGAAAAGGAAATGCAAGAAAGCAAAGTGGCTGTCCAACGAGGCCTTGCAAATAGCAGAGAAGGGAAACAAAATGCAAGGGAGATAGGGAAAATTATAGAAAAGTAAATGCAGACATCCGAAGAATAGCAAGGAGAGACAAGAGGGCCTTCTTAATTGAACAGTGCAAAGAAGCAGAGGGTAAAACCAGAGACCTGTTCAAGAAAATTGGAGGTATTAAAGGAACAATTTGTGCAACGATGGACATGATAAAGGACAAAAATGGGAGGGACCTAGCTTAAGCAGAAGACATCAAGAAGAGGTGGCAAGAATACACAGAGGAATTATACCAGAAAGATCTGTATGTCCCGGACAACCCAGACAGCATCTTAAAAAGCAGAGACATCACCTTGCTGGCAAATGTCTGCATAGTCAAAGCTATGGTTTTTCCAGTAGTGATGTATGGAAGTGAGAGACAGACCATAAAGACGGCTGACTGCCAAATAATTGATGCTTTTGACTTGTGGTGCTGGAGGAGACTCTTGAGAGTCCCCTGGACTGCAAGGAGAACAAACCTATCCATTCTGAAGGAAATCAACCCTGAGTGCTCACGGGAAGGACAGATCCTGAAGCTTAGGCTCCAATACTTTGGCCATCTCATGAGAAGACTCCCTGGAAAAGACCCTGATGTTGGAAAAATGTGAGGGCAAGAGGAGAAGTGGACAACAGAGAATGAGATGGATGGACAGTGTCATTGAAGCTACCAACATGAATTTGACTAAACTCTGGGAGGCAGTGGAAGACATGAGGTCCTAGCGTGATCTGGTCTATGGGGTCATTAAGAGTTGGACACGACTTAACGACTAAACAACAAATCGTAAAAAGCAATTTTGCCCTGGCTCTAGAGCTGACATAGACTAGCTATTCAGTTTTGCTTGAATTTTTACATGGGAAATAATTTCTTACCTTGGCTAATTTTATAAAGACCCACAGCTATTACCATAATAAGAGCCATTACTTTTGCATAGGTGAAAAGATCTTGTACTCGGGTTCCCCATTTCACATTGACACAGTTAATAAATGTCAGAGAACCTAATGAGAGAAAAGGAGAAAGACAAGGTGAGAGCAGTTAGCTGTCCCTTTTTACAATAAGGATTACCTGAATGTGTTCTGTTAACAGGGTTTGAGCTGTTGTTTTGAGAAATCAGTTGAAGCAGAATAAAAGAGAGTTATCCAAATTCATGCAAAAATGATTTTACAAGAAGATCAAATAATTTAGCAAGAAATGAGCATGGCCTATTTCAAGTATGATACTGCCTCCTGGTGGGAAATGCAACAAAACATGTACTTTTATAAGTAAATTATGGATTTTAAAATTAACTGCTTTCTAAGCATGCCATATCAATCTCATGAACTCTACAGAGGAAAGAAATCTTCAGGGGCCAATATCAACTGCATTACTATTTATATTAAGGAAGTTCTTAGATTTCTGGAGTTAAACCTCTTCTGTGGCCCAGTGATTACAACTTGGATCAGAATGCTATTATTCACACTCAGAAATCTGCAGTAACATTACAAATAAAAAGTTAGTTCTAATTTATTATCTTCTGGAATAACTAAGAAATAACAAATTTATATTATTTACCATGTGATATAGTGAAAGAAAACTTAATTAGTTTTTCAGTGTGACTATAATTATATTTTAGCTACTCTTTTAGTTTCAGGGTATTGTGGCATTATTACATAGTTATATTTTGTATCCCAGGGCAGCAATTTGTATAGTTTGAAGATTTATAAAAGTAACTAAAGGTATATAGTAATTACCTTTTTATAATAAGAAAACAGTTCATTTTAAAATTGTAATAGTAATGATTATTTATTTTTGAGGCCTTGAAACTGTAACCGTAAATATTTTGTAACATTCTGAGCTGCACACATACTGTACTTTATAAGATCCATTTAGCACAATGGTCTTCTTCTGGATAAAGGATTCCTTTTTTGGCTCGTGTCCTATCTCTGACACATACAAATGCATGGGTTCAGACCAGCTACTCTTTCACAGACTTAGGGGTCTCAACTGTAAATGGTACATGATCCAGCATCGCTGTTGTGAGAGTGAAAAAAGGGATTGCTCTCACAGAGCACTGAGGTTATACACATTATCTTTTGGCGAATACACACTCCCCCTGCACAGCCTGTTTGCACCTACGTGCAAGTGCGAGCACCCCTGTACAAGTGGCCCTGTGCCTTTGCGCATGTGCATGAGTATGCACGCTCCTTCATGCATGCATGGATGCAGGGGGTGCCCCACCTTCCCCAGCCAGACTACAGGGCTAAAACAGTTGGGGACCACTGCTCTAGATCACATAGCATGATGTAATTTGCTCTTGATATCCCATTCGCCTTTTCATCATATTTAGACATTGACACATTAGAGAAATGAAATAACTATTGCAATCTGTTTTTTTTCTTAAAACATGGGAGGTAGGAAGGAAACAGCCTTCTGCTGAGTCAGGCGACTGGTCCATTTAGCCCAGGAACTAGGCAATGTCCTTTTCTTGCCAATCTGGAGATCCCTAAGATTCCTTGGTGATCTCCTATACAAATATGAAACAGCCCATCATCCTTGGCTTCTAACAAGCCTGGGATGGTGGCGTAGATCATGGAGGACCATCCTCATAAAAAGAGCAGGTGTGGGAGATCCCACAGGCCTTTGATTACAACACTTCTTGGTTGTCCATTGCCTTCATAATAATCTTCTTAAATAGCATCTGAATGGATACTTGAGTGCCCCCATAAACCTAATAATGGCAGCAATCTTAGGTTTGGTTCTTAGAGGATACGTTTTTGTCTGGAGAGTGGTGAGTGATCTGGATGGTTTCTCCTTTCTTTTCCAGCAGAGGATGTGGCTTCTCCCAGGAGGGAATCATCCACATGTGTAGCAGCTTTCTATAGGCACAGTGAATACTTGTGTAGCATTGTTTACTAATCCAAAAGCGTATTACCAGTATCAGGGAGAGCTCTTAGCCCAATGGTAAAACACATGATTTCTAGGCAAAAGAACCCAAGTCCAATCCCTAGTATTCTCAAGTAGGGCTAGCAAAGAATCCTGCCTCAAACTCTGGAGAACTGTCACTCACCAAGATCGGTGCTATCTGTCAGCACTGGCAACACAGACAGAGCACTAGTCTCACTCAGTCCAAGGGAGCTTTCTATGTTTCAAACTGCTAGTATTTCATTTTTTGACAATACTGGTCTAGATGGACTATTGACTTGATTCAGTATAAGGCAGTTTCCTATGTTCCTCAGGAGAGCTTTCTTGAAACTCTCCGCTCATTGATTCCTCTGTCTGTCTTGAAAGCAGAGGTAGTACTTACAGACAAAGGGTAACTTAAGACTGGACATCTACAATGAGTGATTTAAGACTGGCAACTTACAAGGCTTTAGGTCTGTCCCCTTCCTTAAGTGCCTTTGTTGTATTCATTCAGTTCTGAAGCTCACAAGTACCATGTCTTTTCCTTTCCACCCATGACATACCTACCATTCTTGCTCTACAATGGCATCTATATTTCTCATGTAGAGAACATGCAGGAAAGGGAACAGGGAGGGCTGTTGGTCAACATGGGTTTTTGAAAAACAGCCTCTGACCATGTGCAGTTTGGGATGAAATCCAATTATTAATTCCAATGACAGTAGAATGAATGGAGCTTGTTACGTCAATTGTTAGTGTAAGTCCCATTGATCGAATTATCTATTTACTATTTTCATTC